TTGAGAGCATTCGGAATCTTGGAAAGTCGGAATGCATTGAATAAATATTAGAGTAACTTTTCTCTCACCGCGTATGAGTGGATTGGAAGAACGTTCAGCCAAATGAAATCAGGACCCAAGGAGACGAATTAGTGCAATCAACAAAACTTGTGAAAATTATCCCATTTTAAAATCGTTAAAATAGGGTGAGTGCAGTGGAAGCCTTTTAACCCATTTTCAATACGGGTAGCAGAGCTAAGTAGAATGCTTTAAGATAGTTTGGTAGTGCTAACAAAAATTTAGCTATCTCTAAGTTCTAGAGGGCACCAGTTAAACACTTAGGTGAACGAATGCATCCAAAGGAAAGCTGTGCCAAAAATAGTAGATTTCATTCGCAGAAGCCCCTCGAATGTCCACTTTTCAGTCCTAAGATGGAGGTTCTGAACCTGCTACAGCTTTGCTTAACCTTAAACCGACGCAAAGTTTTTTTTGGCTTTAAATTATTATTAAGACATAAAAAAACTATGCGCACAAAGTATAAAGACTTTTGGCCTGCATCAAAAAACTTTCCACTTACTCGCTATGGAAATGTAAGGTTCTCCCGCTCAGACCAAAAACTATTTAACAAACTACCGAAAGCCGACCATAAAATGCCAATAAGTAATTCGAATTGAGGAAAAAAAGACCTCGAATTTGACACCACCTAAGCAACCGATTTGTTTTATTAAATTAAAGTTGAATAACTCCTCGTCCTTCATAACTCGCAGAATCCTTCCCCAACCTAATCGAGGAAAGAAATATAAACAATTGTACTGAACAAGGCACAAATCAATCGAGCATTAACTACCAGTTCTACAATGAATTTTATGAATTAGTCTGCAAAAATTAATTCATTTACAAGAAATGCTAATCGCATCATTAAAACACTAAAATGCATATTTTGGGTCAGTACTGTAGTCAATCGGAAATTCTCTTAAAAAAAGGGACGGTGACAGAAGGAAACAAGATAATCAAGTGGGTTGGAATTTCTTTTGTCTAGCGAGAGATAGGGTGAAACGGAATTCGAAGGCCTGTGATCGTTAGGAACTGACTGAAAAAGAGTAAAGGACAAAAGAATCGTAGTACACCTCTGGATACAATCATAAACTAGTAAATGCCTACCTTTCGCATCAGTCTGCCTTATTTAATCACCAATGGGCTGAAATCAATCAAATATGAAACTGGAAATTGCTCCAATTTTATGCGCGATGGAAAATAAAGCGTGTTATCATGCTTAAAGCTACTATAACCAAATGACATTGACTGTACAACTAAACACGCGGGTCCTTCTGTCTACCACCACGACGCCTTGCTTATTGGCATTTGAGGACTTCTATTGCGGCCTTAGTAACCCTACTTCCAGATTTGTGTGGAATGTTATGGCTGAAGCGAGGTTTAACTGGACAACCGTAGTAAGCCGTCCAAAGGTCAATGGTGACGTGTAGGCTAAAAGTATGACTTTCCGATGCGGTGACCCTATGCAAACGCAAAATCGACCACTACACACTGACTTTATATGACCAGGTCATACCCGAGCTGATATACAAGTCACTGTGGCCTCACAGCGATTGATATGGGAAAAGTGTTTACATTTCTCTCTGTATGAACGATATAATACTTGGACCTTTAACTTGAAACCACTAAGGTGAAAAATGAGGCGCCTGAAAGAGTGGGGTGAAAACGAAAATGGGGATAGCAGCATGTGTCAATTAGCAAATTTGAAGTACGAAAGCTAAATTTACTAATTTTTAGGTGGAAGCATAAGCAGATGGACGACATCACTAAACAAGGGATAACATTCATATTCTATCACTATACTTTGAATGATTCAACGAATAGACAAATGTTGCAATCCACGTAGCCCTTGTTAGACCCATTTAAACGCCTCGATTTCTTAACTTTACAATATGTGTGACATGAGTTCTTTTAATGTTATGGCAACTGTTCTCATTCGTCAAAAATGATTTCGTATCTCATGATGCTGTAAGAAAAGCATCCTATAAAACATGTAAAATTAAAGTATTCTGGTGAATTGGGCCAACTTTTTCTGAGTTTCTGTTAGCAGACGTTCTATGAAGACAAACTCGCAAATTTCCGACAATGCAACCCAAATGTGGTGGAGATATTCTTAATAGACAAATACATCACCACAACTGGAGTGGCTGTGGGCATTGTAACGATCTGATAAATAAATGGCTAACTGAGTTACCGCAGTTAACGATACTAAAAGTTAGGTCAAAGCGCCACTAAAGTGACTAACATAAAAAAATTGGTTAATCATTTCACCCAGCCAATTAGATGTTGAGCATTTTAACACAGTACTTAAAGGCAGAGCCACAGAGTTTGAAAGGAAGGAGCACTTACGCCGCTCTTAGGGATGGAACCGGGAAAGTACGACTATTAGAATATTGGGTTCGCGGCTGACTGCGACTCGGCAAGGAGAGTTCTAAATAGTTCTGGAAAAATGACAGATGTCACAAAGTTGTGCCTGATTACGAGAGCCCCTTAAGGCTTTCCAATGTTCGATCTCAGTGCCGATAGAATGGAACCTTATCCGCCTCAACCATGGTATATGTTTTCCAACTCTTCTGTGAGGAGAATAAACCAGGACCTAGATTCATGTCTTGAAATATTCTCAGGGATGAATTACGAATCACCTCAGCAACAGCGTGATCGCTTACAGCCCTCAAACAATTCTAACTTACATTGTTGAGTGTACTCAAATGGCTAACAATGACGGTAAGCAGTTCGGGTTCAGTACTACATAAGAGTATTCATTGCAAGCGACCCAACAAGACCATCGTTGTAAAAGTGGAGCCCATTCTTAAATATTAATGCAGCAATGAGTGGTGACTGAAAACCCAAAACCCCCATCTGAGACGAAATGGGGTGAATGATTAAGAAACAGGTGGATGACAGGAGAGCAGACGAAACAAAACGTATGTGTTGATGGTAATTGTGTAAGTAGCTTCTATAGGAGCTACAAAATTAACACAGGACTAAGAAACACGAAATATCTCAGCTATTTGCAAGTCATACGCACGCATACATGCAGAAGAGTTTGGTTGACTTGGAGAGGCATGACCAATGGCACCGGTATTTGCGGTCAAGGGAGAAGTAGCGAGGGGCAATAAAGCCTCGTCCAGATTTCAAACTGGCAATCACCCTTTCGGGAAGGAGAGAGGCGAATTGACGAAGGCGAGAGCAGCGACAGTGGAGGGGCGGATGGAGACTGCCGAAAGGCGGAGAGAGGCAGACATATGGTATCACTAATGTCTCACTAGTTTGAACAAGCTCAAACGTAAACACGAACTATGCCGGCTGCTGCAAAAAAATGTGATCGCGAAACTTGATCTAGCTCGAACTTGACAAATGCGAAAGAAACATTTTGCATTCATTTTCAACTGGTTGTTAAGCCAGAGAGTCTTCGATACTCGAGGCTTGGCCTCGACACCCTTTGCATGAGCTTTCTAATTTCTTCACGCTGATATCTGCGTCATAAATGCTTATATTGAGATACAAAATCGACAACCAGCATAAAGTGCAATCAAGAGATGATTTCTTAGATCATTTATCAAATAAGGGTGCGAACTGAGCAAGAAAACCACCCCCAGAAGCGCAAGCTTTATTGGAAAAGCTAATAGAAGATCAGACGATAGAATCACCTAGCATAGTCAGTATAATACCTTGAAACTCGGGTGCTGAGCTCGGGGCGTCCCAAGAAAAGATGGACTGTGGTTTTCATTACAAAAGGTGAATCAGAGCCAAAAATCAGGAAGTGTTACAAATAGTACCGCTACCCGTGTTCTATTGGTAGGAGGGAAAAGACCCAGGGGATTAAGTAAACCAATGCACAAAATTAGCAAGGGCATTCCAGTCTAATTGATGATGTGGCTGAAAAATAATCAAGTTCGCAAAAATACCAACATAAAAGCGATGGGAAGAATGTGGGTTAGAAATCCTAAACCATCCTTCTTAGAGCGGATTCAACGAAACATCGTTACTATTTTCATTTATCAAAGCCAAGGGACCATATTACCGTGACGTTTTCATGGCTTTTGCTAATAAATTATGTGCAGGAGAAACAATTTTTTGGTGTATCTGCCTGTTCAGTATTCAGCGAATTGGCTTCATGGTGGTCTTACGACGTCCTGCCCATGCCACCTGGCCGATTAGTCGCCTAAGGCTGGCATGCTGCATAGTCACATAAAGGAGGATTAATTACGACTCGAAAACGTCATTGGGGTGGATGGCTCACGCAAATCTCGAAGCCCATAAAAATCCAGATGGAAGGCCAGCCAGAACAGCATCGACTTAATTTTACCACCCAATAATAATGGTTGCAAAGGAAGCAAGACCAAGCGGAAAACTAGAGGTAGACTTGAAGAGGGAGCCTACTGCATTAAGATAGCAAAGGCTACCTTGTGATAATCATCTGAGGTCTCAATGCCTTTTTATGTTACGAGAAAGTGAGCGAAAGGGAGGAGCCAGAGAGATCGTAATACAGCTTAGAAATAAAAATGGGCACCATTGCACTAAGACATAGGCAAACAACAGGAACCTCACTTCATTCCCACACAACACCATCAAATCCATCCACCCTTCAATAACTCGACAGGATTTTGGCAAGCAAGCAGCCGTAAAGCATAATATCTTTCTAATGAAAATATTGCTGGGAAGACAAGTAAACATATGCACTCTTATATTAAAATTAATATGAAAGAACCGCGTCAAATCCCGCTGATGGATAAATCAGTTAAAAGCATCGGGTTGTAAACTGCAGCGTGACCGGAGAGCACTAATAACAAGACAAAAAGTTGAAGACTTTGCAACACCCCACAAAGCAGTGTGTAGATAGTTTTGGAAGGAGAAAATAAAGAAATTAAGGGGACAATAGAAAATGATTCGAGGAGAGTTCCGAAGCAATGCTGTAAAAAAGATGGCAGGAAGCTACAAATTTCAGGCAGCAGATGACAGTCAAACTAGAACACATTCTTGCGGTATCGCTGACAAATATACCGGAACTTAACCAATAGGAAAATGAAGCGATTCCCTTGACTTAGACTCCTGTAAAAAAGAATAAAACAGCCGAAAGAGGTGAAACTAACTTCTTCCATAGCCCACATTTGAGGCACCACAATAAAGGCATAGTGTTGAGATTTGTCTCAAATTAATAAAATAACAAGCACTTTAAAACAGACCTCAGACAGCAGTTGACAAAGGAACTGAAGGAGACAGTAATTTGGCGCGGGCAGGCACTCCAGCTGGTCAATGATGGGTTTGAGGTCCTGTCCATCCTCAATAAGGTAGCCAGTTGCTTTGAGTCGGTCATACTGGCGATAGGGGATCACGGGTTCAGGTAGCTCACGGAGATACTGCTTTAGTACGCCTGCAGCTGCGTGAGCATCGTGTTCATTAGCACGAAGAATTGGATCCGGCTGAGCCATATCATAGGCATCACAGAGTTCCTCTATTACGTGCCGAGAACCGCACTTCCTGCAGGAAACGTATAAACGTAGCCGAAGAATTCACTTTCACAAATATTAGACCTACTGATTAAGGTGACTGAGGTCTAGCCAGAATTCACTAAGCTAAATATTTGAGTCCTCAACCCATAAGTCCGTTGGTTCCACTCAAGTTGATGACCTTCCAGCGATCAAAACTAAGCGTATACTACTGACCTTGTTATTCAGCACCTGTAATAAAGTTGGTTCTGAAATTTCAGTTATTAATCTCATTCAGATCAAGTCAAACCCCGTAGCCATGCCAACAGCCTTCTTGATTTTACCGATGCGATACTGCGGAAGGATAGCTGAGGAGAAGTGATAAGTGTCCAGCTTCGACCTCGACCAAAATTTCAGGTCGGGAGTGGATTAAGGACATGTTTTCACGAGAGGAGAAATTGGCTGCATAAAAACGAAGAACAAAAAACGGATCGGCCGCTTGGGAGGCATCGAAAGCAGTCAGATAGTAAAGCTAAGGAGTGAATAGAAAACAGTCCCAGGAAAGGATTTTTGCCCATGGAGAAGCGTCCGAAATTCGTCTGATCACTCATTCCTAGAAGCTAAAAATTGAAACCCCAACGAATGTAGTTTGTGAAGAGAACGCTGTAAGCGAGCCTGCCGATACCTACAAAGTCTCCTCTTGTCAAAATCAGAAAACTAATGGTATGCTTCGTGTATCCTGCAGTTTATTCAAGTTCACTTGAGGGAGCAGAAAGAGAACCCTAAAAAGCCCTCGGAAAAACGTTCAGAAGGAGACCTATATAACCAGATAATGTTCGTTTTGGCTGTGTATAGGCTTATTCTGTGTTTTAAAATCTGTCTATCAGTTCATGGTGCTAGAAGCCTGGGCGTCAATTTAAATATTTAGTAAATCTGCCAACCGCGGCATGGCCTTGACGTAGGACTCTGAGTACTGTTTGACAAAGAGTAAGGCTTGAAATTGTAAGTAGACCCTACTTGCATATGCGCACAATTTGAGGACCACTGCAGTGTCCACACATGATGCGTTCCGTTGTGTTTATAATGCTTCCCATCACCATAAGCAGGCTATTCACACAACCCCATGTGCTGGCAGCGATACAGCACTAGAATACAGGTCTTAAATACACTCACCAAAGATCAGAATACTTGTGTAATAAACTGTCCGAGCGTCATCTGGCAATTCATGTGGGGTTCTTAGATGATTGATGACAATGTTGAGACATCCATAAGTCAGCTCATTAGCTTATAGATGCCTTGACAAAAATGTTGTCAACTCACAAGGCGTAGGATAGAGGGATAAGTTATAACATCGATACAGTGCGTACTTTAAATGTTGTCAGGAAAGTGTATTGAGTGACAAAACGAGAAGGACGCATGCAATACTAAGTCTAAGAGAAAGGCGGAACTATGTATCAACACGACTCAATGGAACTACCAGAGGAAGCCCAGCCGTGCCTTTCAGACGGAACTTTAGGTCAGTTCCGGATGAAAAAAATGAGGTAAGGGTAAAGGAGCGCAGTAAATGGAATCGTAACACTTTAACCATTGGTCGCGAGTGCATAAGGCTTTGCGATTGTAGCTCAACTAAACCGCAAGGTCTTAGGACCATACCACTATTCCTCAAGCCATTCTGTGGGTGGACAATGCACATTCTACTTTGGTTATAAACTACTTTTTCCTCACGAAAGGCTGGAGGCGTAGCGTAGGTAACAGGAAAAAACGAAACAGATGGTAAAGAACAAATAGCCTGCAAGATGAATTAGAAGTTGTGGCGACCTTCGATAACTAGTCCCTTCCGCGTTTTCGAAGAATGCGATCAACAACTGAAGCGAACTATCCAAAAAAAGGTAGATTGCGAGGTTGCCCACTGTACCTGCATGAAAATGTCACTGGAATGGACAGGCTACATTTTCCCAAATTTCATTTGGATGAAACTAAAACGGCGCAAAATTTTTTTGCTTCATTTAAGAATTCTGCCCTTAGCTCATAATCAGTACTACTACCAAATAAGAAAAAAAGTTTAGGTCAGGTGGAATTGACATTGTAATCGAATACCCTTCCAATAACGGGGAACTTCGACATAAAATGCAAGTGGTTTGAGAACGTTTCAATTGTAGCATTGGCTGCGTTGTCGTGACCATAGAAATGAGTGAGAAGGGCTCCTGTCTTTGCATTTCTGCTGCAAAGCATGACATTAACTTCAACTTCTCTATATGCTAGCAAGGCATACTTTGTTTCGTACCACCATAACGTTTTCAACTTTTAGAAAGGACTCATAGTGCCAGAAAAATGTATGATCAACGAAATAAGATTTAGAATCGAGTAGTTGACGAGGAAAATGATTGAAACCGTATGATACTGGAAGTAACACCAGTATTCTGCTTTTACCTAGCGCGGAAGATATGTTATGGCAAATATTCGCCCTTTCATTTAAAACCTCCGAATCTCTGCCTCATTTAAACATCCCAGAGAGGGCAGCGATGGCCGTTTGGCATCCCTGAAAATGTGCTTCTTTGTTGTTTGGTCAAGCATTTGGTTCATTAAGCAGATTAAAAATTCCACACCGTAGAACTAATACCGTCTAGAATACTTTAAACTAGCATTCTGACTCCACATAAAAAGCCAAGGCAATGGGGGAAACATCTTCAACACCTGTTACCTGGAGTTGGGTAAAACATCGCATTCAACTCTTTACAATCAGCTCTTGAGAAGCGATTAAGGTCCACCAATTCATCAAGATAGGCTGAAGTGGTAAATTTACTACCAGTCTTTTAAAGTGGACTAGACAGTGGACACATAACGGTATGGCATGGAGCTAAAAACGATGTCAAACTTCATCCAAAAGGCAACCGGATCTTTTCAGCAAAAACCAAGAATGCTTTACAACCAAGGGATTCCAGAACCAAAACACTTGTAAACCAATCAAAACCAAAAGTGCAAACATAGCCATACCTCAGAAGTTGCTACTATTTGTCATTTCCAATAAGCTGTGCACAAGTGATGCGCATTTAATAACCAACAAAAAAGGTGATATTTGAAAATCAGCAAAACGATTTCGGGAGAGTTTAAAGGCACTAAAGGGTGTACTAAAGGAGGAAGCATGAGGTGTAAACTGTCAAAGTCACGAAACAAATATTCCTCAAGGAAAATTTCACATGTAACCAAAACCGCTGCCCATTTTGAGCATCACATCAACTAAAACAGTCCAATCCGCCTTTCGGATGAGGATCAAATGCGCAAGAACCACATTTTTTGCGATGCAATGCTAAAATTTACAGCTGTAACTAGTATTTATCATGGTTTTTGCATTGCCCTAACCGGCTCGTAGCAATCAGGATAGTAATCTCAAATGCCAACTCTTTATTGGGCCATGAGAGACTTCACACACTCATAAGGCCTTTACTGAGGGTACGAAACAGTGAGACTGAGAGTTGAGACAATACGCACATTGATCGGTGTTTCGCCCTCCAAGATGCTCGCTAGTGCCTTCCAATGCTTGCACATCAAACAGGGAAATAGCGTCCAAAAGAAGCTTATAACGTCGCACGCAAAGGCTTATGCTTGTCATATGCTAGGCAGGATGAATGCTGCAAACAAAGTTCGACTAGGATCCACGGTGAGGGATGCCTAATTCGAATATCAAGTCCAAAAGTTTCAGCAAAGACCTGCGAATCGCCTTGTCTACAGCGCATAACTGCACTCGGCTAAAAGCCGGCCATCAAAATATGACGCGACTTTGCAAAGGTACGCCACTGGTCGAGTACGAAAATGAATGCCCCTAAAAACCACACATGGAAGCCAAACACTAAGAAGGACATTACCTAAGTAGTATTTGAAGGTTTCATGTAATTCAAGAACTAACGCAATGGGCTCCTTGATTTCATAAAATTCGTTCCCAAAAGGTCTTTGAGTACTAAACGTGGAGCAACACTTATTCAAGTCACGTGACGATTGCAATTGGCTAGTGAAAAAAAGAGAAGTACAGCAACCTAGATGATTTCAAGAGAAGCAAAGAAGACGCAAATCAAGAGATAGAGCACATTTGAAAGGTGCATAAGTCGTAAACGAAACTTAAAAGATTGCCTAAATTGAAAAGAGAATTGCGCGAGATCCATGAATGCAGAGGGTGACCGCGTTAGCAAAAAATTACCTGCATTTACTTTGACAGTCACATGTATTTTGAAAGGGGCTGACTTGCCAAATGATTGGAACAATAAATGAATAAGGCTGCAAACATTTTGCCATCCATAGAGAAATGCAGATGAGGAACACTGACTAATGTGGCGCTCACATCAATTGGCGTACTGAGCTGGGGAGCAAAAACATGAAGCGTTGAACCCACAGCCAAGAAAACGAGGAATGTAAGATAGTCAACAGGGATCATTTCAACTGCAATGCAGAAAGTGAAACATGAAATAAGTTTGCAGCCTGACACCTATGCATGGAACTTCCGAGAAAGAGGTTTCTTCAAAGCTCCATGACGAATAAAGAATCCCTTTGAGATTAAAGTTTACCTAAAATCAAGGAGCATTCAAATGCCTTAAAAACAAGATTGTTAGCCTGCTGTTCGGCCAGCAACGGCCAAATGGTAAAATAAAACAGGTCTGGTCAAGAGAGAGGACACATAAGGACATTGCTAAATGCACACTTTCTCCCCACACTCGTTAGTGCTGCGCATTCTCAACGTTCCGCTTCCCCCATCTGAGCACTGCGTCACAGTGCCGCTGAATTGAGACAAAACACACCGTTGAAGTTTGAGGTAATAAAATTGAGGTGGAATCTTCATGATCTAATAAAAATCACCATCTTCCTGGTGTTTCTTCCAAAAAACCATAAATTCTCTGGATAGGAACAACCGACTCATCTGAGACTCTTAGAGTACAAAAACATGCTTTTCTAGTATCTCTTGATTCTCATAGGTGGAAGGGAATTATGTAATCCTGCCTCCCAGTTCTCTAAGACCAAATCTAGGTATTTTCTGACTTATTTTCGGCAGAGTTAGGTAATTGTTTTATAATTAATCAACTTTACCAAATGCCTAACCAATGAAAGCGCATAAAGGAGGGTATTGAAAATTTTTCGCCATCGGTTTACACATTTATTAATGCGGTGGAAACTGCACAAGAAATACCATGCACTAATTTACAAGTGTCACGATTTGGGGAGCGGCCACGGATTGCATGTAAATTATATCCAAACGATCGGTTCTTCAGAAAGGCGTTCAACGTAAGAAATGAACATGGTAGTATTGACATACCGAAATATCCCATCCGTAGTCAGACCATATTGTCGGATGAAATTGGCAGTTTTGTAGACAACCCGGGGGACATATTTGGTCTCAGGTGAGGTGTAGGCGAACACTTCGGAGAGATGCGTGCCGAAGAGCCCTGCAAATTTGTGCAAAATGCGCGTGCGTGTATGTTTGCCACGAAAGTCGAATGAAGCGGGTAAAGCGGAGGTACTACCCGCCGATCTACTGCTCTTCAATGTCAAGATAGACAGAATCTCAAACAAAAGAGCCACGTAGGTGGATTTGCCGTGGCATGAAGTTGTTGACGTAATTCGAATT